TGTGATAAATTCTGTACACACTAGTTTCTACTGGTAGACCAGAACAAGAGGAGAATACCTTTCTAGGAGTCCGTAGCATAGGTACAGTGCCTGTCTGCTGAGGTTTGGACAATGCCCTGGGCTCTTGTATACTGAAATGTTGTCTTCCTTTCTTTTTGTAGGATCTGTAAGGTTTTTGGTCATCTCTGTATTAAAGTAGAACTTCATTCAGCTTTATGATGAAAGAGAACTCTCTTTGACACTAAAACCAAAAAGCTTTCAAGACCAATTAAAGAAAACTGATTTTTTCTGACTGGGCTTTTCTGACAGAAGCACTCCTTGCACCTGCAGTTCCTTTCTTGGGCCTGATAGAGTCTGAGACTGTTCGTCTGTTCTCCTGGTTGTCTAGTTGTCTGGCTCATTTTGTCTTGCATCCATGTTTAAGGTACTGAATTCTACTAATGTCAAGGCTGGAGTTTCTGTTCTGCTCTCTTAGCAGTGCAAGTATTAGATTTGCTTTTTTTTCCTCAGCCTGTCACTGGTGCTAGATCCCTGTGGACAGATGTTTAAAAAAGGAGATAACAGTATAGAAGCTGTAGCATTTTAGCCAGCTTTCTTGGTATTTAAGTCCAACCGCACCCCCCCCCACTCCCTGCTTTTTTTTTCCTGAAGTAATATAATACAGGCCCAATTTCCTGAATCTGTATGAGAATATGATATAAAAATGTGACATTTGCTAGCCCAAATATATATGAAACCATTGTTTTTGGAAGATAGATCCATATTGACTTTAGTGATACAGGAAGGTAAAATGCTTTCAAATCTTTCTATAGCACCTGTACTAGTGGCACAGAATGGGTCTCCCAATTAACTTCCACTTCTTATAAAGCAGGAATTTTTCTTTTTTTTTGTTTTCAACTTGAGAGCAATGCTGATACTTTATAATAAATAATTCTGAGAAGTCAAAGCATGAGAAACCCACACCTAATTATAATAGTAGATAACTAACTTCTGTAAACTGGGTATTTTGACAAAGGTAATTTGTTGCAGATATGGCACATAATGGTGAAAGATTGGAAAAAGTGTTGTTTGAGCACTGGTATTTTGGGGGTTTGCACAGGACAGGATAACTTCAGGATGTTGAGCTAGTCATGTTTTAATAGCCTTTCCTGTCTTTGTGTCACCAGCTTATTGTTAAAACAGAGGAAGATTCTGTATTTTACTGAATTGCAAAAAATCAGTGAGCAGACAGAATACAAGAAGCACTCCGTATTGGGGACTGTCCTTTGTGGGAAAGATTCAGATCTAAATATCTTATGATTGACACAGCAAATCAAACTTCCCTGGTCACTCTTGGCACCACCATCAAAAGGATGGTTTTACTGTTGCTCTTCCTCTCCCTGTGCTGCTGGCAGAAGTGGTTTTGCATCAGTGTAGTAAACTGAATCATAAAACTGCTCTGAATTAGAACTGTCCTTCCTCCCCCTTCCAGCCTTTAGTTAATTTTAACCTTGAGCTAGTGAATAAATGCTGCTTCTTGCACAAGGAAGAGGGCACACAGGGGTGTGTAGTTGAGGGAGATCAAGAAACTTTGGCATACATGAAAGTAAAATTTTTGAATAAATTTGAAGTCTTACCTTTAGGGCAATGCTGAAGTTGCAAATTTTAGCTTGAGTGTAAAAGAATAAAACGTCTTAAGTAAAAATGGATGCAAGTCATGAATGAAAAGAGAGCAGAGAGGTAAAGCTCAAGCTATGATTATCAAAGAGCCACAGCTGCTGGTCTGTATTACAGGAGACAACATTGGTCAGGAGCTGATGTGCGATTTAGTTGTCTCCTGTACAGCTCTCCCCAACAAATTTCAACTGGGTTATAGTTGAGGCAGATAACTGTGTTATTCTGAGTACAGGCTCTTTTATTTTATTTTTTCCTTGACTAATAGTTTCTCTCATGTATGAGTAACAAGTCATGATCATTAGCTCATTTGCATTGTGGCATTTCTTGGACAGCTCAGGCTGTATCACAGTCATCTTTCTTATGCCTTTAAGGAAATTTTGTCAGCATCAACCAAGTTCTTCTAGCTCAAACATTTTGAAAATTTTTTAATGTTTTCCATTTCCAAGACTTTGAAGTGCTTGTTCTATGCTGTTTTGCAAAATCAGTAATGATTTTTCGCTGCGTATCATATTCTGTTGTTAAAACAGCATTGGAATATCTTGAGCAAATTCCATAGCTAGGAATTGCACCTTTTGCATCATCATGCATCAGCAGAATGGTAAAGAAACTCTTGGGACTCTTGATATTCTCTTGCTTTTGCAAATGAATGAGGTAAATTAATTTTTTTAGAGTTAAAAATTAAATCTAAAGTTGTACTTCATGCTAAGGGAAGACAGTGAGAACACAGAACAATGCTGCATTTGACTTTCACTAGGAATTTCAATTTCCCAATAGATTTTTATATTGTTTAGAAGTTAGGGTTTATTGTGGGGTTACTCTATCTTGACAGCCCTCAAATGCTGGTTTCAGAATGGAGGCTTCCGAAAGCCTTATTCTTAGGAGTGAATCCCTACGTCTTCATTACCTTTCTTACCAACACAGCCATGGGACTTGCGTCAGAATGTCTCCCAGGATAAATGTACTCAATAGTGCTTGGTGTGAACTATAACGCTCGTGAACTTGCACCGTGTTTCATACAGGAACATGGCTGTGCAGCTTGCAGGCTGTAATTGTTGCATACTGCTGTTGTCTGGGTGGCAGCTCTCTTTCTTGCAGAGTTCAGCCAGCAGGTAGTTGGTAGTGGCAGCGAATGGGTACTGTTCCTTCCCTAGAGTGCTGTTAAAGTCCATTTGGAGAAAGAAAAAAAAACAACAACCAAAACGAAACAAAATCAGGATTTTTTAAATGTCGATTTCATGTTTATAAAGAAAAAAACCCAACAAACACAACCTTAGATCATGCTTTGTTGTTAGTCTGTAGGGTGTAATACTTGCTGTCGTGTAGGAAATTTTGAGACTCGCTGGAATGCTGTTTTGCCTGATTTTCTTCAATAACCCAGAGGAGCTCTTCCACTGATGTTGACATGAGGCTTTCTTAATCGTGGCTGTTGGCTAGCTAAAGTCTTGGAATTCAGGCATCAAATTTTTCAAGAGGGAAAAAATACTTGATGGGGAGATTGTATTTTCAAGTTCTGGTACACGTTTGCATGATGTAACTGAAAGAGTGGCGATTGAACACTAAGCCGATTAGGTGTCTCGGCTTGCTGCAAACACTGATGTTTTTGTGTTGACCTCCTCCTTTGGTAGTCTGTCAGGATAAAAATGTTTCTTTAACCTATGATGTCTAGTTTATGAAATTGCAGGATTTCCTGCTTATCTGTAATTCCGGTCCATGTCTGTTTTTTAAAGGTCCTTCATACTACAATAAGGAAACAAGTTATAACAAATTTGTGCTAAATTAGTACTCCATTCTTGAAATATTACCAGCTCCCTTGGTCTTTGCCACCCTTGGAATTGCAGTGGTGGAAAGAAAGTATCTTTTTACTGAGCGGTCACTCCAGGTCACACCACAGGATATTTGTACAGGCTGCAGGTGTGATACTTTGGCTCAGCTGAGGCAGCTGAAACACAGGGCTGTTTTTGTTGCCTCGGGAGTATGAGGCTGCTGCCTGCTTGTTCTAGTTGCGCTCAGAGCACAAAGCCCTGGAATACAAACAGTGGAGTGTTTTTGTAAGGGTGTCTTCAACCAGAGGAAAGAGAATCTTCTGCTACTGGGACATGCTTATTGAATTACTGTTCTCTATGAAGAGGTGTGGAAAGTAGCATGTCAGGTTGTAGAATAACACTAATGATGGAAATTCAGTTCAAAGTAGCTTTGAATATAAAAAGAAAGAAAAAAAAACAACTTTTAAACCAAGCCATCTTTCATTTTATGTATACGTTATGTGCTTCAGGAAAACTACTACAGGAATATTCCAGATATTTTTAACACACTGGAAATTTTTTATAGTCCCACCCGTAAAACTATCTTTCCAATCATAGAATTCAGAAGGTGCCCAGAAGGCATAAAATAGTTTTTCTATATCTAAAGTGTAACAATATGGAATTTTTATATTATTGGATAGTCTGGTGGTTAAAAGAAAGATCACATTGCAACAAAAATTGAGACTTTTTCTTTATAATTTTTCCTTCCCTGTTTGAACATGCAATATATGATTTTAAAACTGCATTCTGTTACTATATAGAGAACTTAGATTGCCATGATGGCAAATGTGAAAATTTTGTGAAAGAGTTTAGGGTCGTCTGCTTTTTAGGGGAGACAGAGGAAACATCCTTTACACGATTTGCGAGTGTGGCTTTGGGGGTTTTTTAACCTCACTTTCTGAGGAAATGAAGCTGATGTATTTGCCAAGCCAGCCAGAGAGACTTCTCTCTTCCCATACCTTTTTAACACTTTGACAGTTTCAACTAATGTGTCAGGAATACAGAGCCATTATATGCAATTATTTTCCAATGAAACTTGTGCACATAAGCTGCTGGGTAGAGGGGGAAATGCCCTGTTAATTCCTACAGTGAAGGGGAGACTGCAGTGGGATATCAGTGCTTATTACACATCAGAAAATCCTCAGAGGTGCACATCCTGAGACCAGAAATCCCAAGAAGTCAGCATCATTGTGTTTGCTGCTCTCTGAACTACTGGTTTATTTAAAATTGTAGACATTTGGTATGAGCTATTAGCAGGATGACATAATGGGGTGAAAGACTGGTGAAGCAGCCAGAAATGTGCAATAGGTAAGTCTGCTACATGAGCTCGTTCTGCCATGTGTGAGTTGCAAGAACGTTTTTTCTAACTGATGTCTGTGCTGAATTGACTCATTGGTCTTTTTTTTTTTCATGTAAAAGGGAATTTAAAGCAGTGGAAGTGTTGTGTTCATAGATGTTGGGGAAAGTTGGGTGATATTATTATAATCATGTGATTGGCTGTGACATTGCTCATGTTCTTACTCTTGTCTTTATTCCAGTAATATGTCCGATGCTCTCGCAAATGCAGTATGTGAACGCTGCCAGACTCGATTCGATCCTGCAGAGAGGATTGTAAACAGCAATGGGGAGCTCTATCATGAAAACTGCTTTGTCTGTGCTCAGTGTTTTCGTCAGTTCCCAGATGGGCTTTTTTATGAGGTGAGGTCTCATACTGTGTGTAAGGGAAGAGAAATAGCTCCATTAAAATGCAAGGAATTAGGTCAAAATTCTGGCAGAAATACAAATTTCCATCTTCCTTGCATGTTTAATTTCTTAGCCCTAAACAGTTTCTTGCTATTTTTCTGAGGGACTTCCAACTTAATTTTGGTTTTTTTGCTTCTCACATACTCCTTGCTATACAGCAGTAACAACAAAAACTGTGTGCTTGCTCTTTGGGTAAGAGGCATTTCAAAAAGAAAATAGAAAATGTTTCTTAATATTTCATTAGACATAAGTGAATTTTTGTCTTTATTTTTAGACATTTCATACCAAACTTTTCCAATTGGGCAACTGAAATTGGTGAACCCATTTAAAAATGAAGTTGAAATATTTTTACAGAATATGTGCGAGCACATATTTTGAATAACATGTTATTTTAAACATGCTGCATTCTTAATTTGCTGTGAGTTTTAGCCTCGTGTAGGAGGAGTAGTTCTGAATTACATAAGCAAAAAAAACTGAAACAAAAATTAAATTAAAGCCAACTAGGAAAAGGGCTTTGGACACTTCAAGATTTTTAATGTCTTCTAGCAGGATTGCTATTAATTTAACTGTTTGCTATGATTCACCATGAGGCTGAAGCTGTATCTGGATATTTCTTTAAGAAAAATCCTCAGGAGTTTAAAAACAGGTGAGGGGGGGCTAGAACTGGAAAACTTGACTGACCTTGACTAGTTGTTCATTTCAATGGAAAATCATGCTGAACTATCAAGACATAAGAGTAGTTCAGTTATTCATGAGGGCTCCTTCTCTTTTGTTTTGTTCACAGTTTGAAGGTCGGAAGTACTGTGAGCATGACTTTCAGATGCTGTTTGCTCCTTGCTGCGGGGAATGTGGTAAGATGTGGTGCATGTCAACACTGTGGGGTAACAGCTACAGGGCTGTGCAAACCTCCCACCATTGCAGTGACATCCAGCCCTGGGCTGGGATTGTTGAGGTCATTTTGAGGAGCAACAGCTTTGGACAGAAACAAAGCATGATATCAGCAGTGATTTGGGGGTATCCTGGTTGTGGGAATAATTGGGGTTTTTTCAAAGTTAGACTGTAATAGTTCTTGTGGAATTAAAGTGAAAGGATTATGAAGGGCAGTAGACTTTTGATAAGACTATTTTCTGCATGCATCTCAAGGTGTTGCTTTCCTTTTGCAGGTGAGTTCATTATTGGGCGTGTTATCAAGGCAATGAACAATAACTGGCACCCAGAATGTTTCCGCTGTGAACTCTGCGATGTAGCACTTGCTGACCTGGGTTTTGTAAAGAATGCTGGCAGGTAAGGTAGAGCAGGAGCTCTGAACGTTTTATCAGTATGTTATCAGTACAGTAGTGACATGTTGAGAGTGGTCAGTTAGTTGTACACTGAGAGGTAAAGCTTGAAAAGGTACAGAAGAAGTTTTAAGGAATAGCCTGTTAGGAGATGGGAAATGGAATGAAGAACAGTGTTCTTCATGCAGTGAAACATGTAGAAAGCAGAAACTCAGATTTTAGCTAGTGGATGGGTTCTGGAAAAGAAAGGGATTTCAGGCAAAAGGTTGAATAGCAAGGGAGAAAAAGGGATTATGTGATCCTGGGCAGGCTATTTATCAAGTAAGCTGCTGAGCAGGAAGTCAAGATATAGCAAAAGGCCAAGAGAATAACACGAGGATTACAGCAGGTGATGCCCCTTGTCTTTGGAAATCATTCATTTTATATACAGGAATATAAAAATGAGTCCTAAACATTGATTAATACATTTAATTAAGAAGTAAGAAATAAAAAACATAAAAGAGAACTTGCACAAAAGCATACCATGATAAGAGAATAAAACAATCCAGCAGTTAGCAGTGTTGCACAATTCATAGTTAATTTCAGGCTTTCATATGTCTTGAGCAAAGCGTAGTAGTTTCCTAGAGTTTATAGTCTCACTAACTAAATGGTGAAGAAGGGAAGGAAAGGTTATATACTTGTACCCTGTCCAGCAGGGAATCCTCTCAACTCACTCTTCTCTTCCATCCTGCATGCAAATTCTGTGTCTTAGTTTTTGGAGTTGGGCATAACTGATTTTCTTCTGACACCTAAGCTTGTTAGAATGGGCTGTTGTGATAGCCCCTAGGGTGTTTTGGGAAAGCAGTCAGGATTGAAGCAGTTCAAGCAGGATAAAGTATGTTTGATTTCATAATTTGTGGACCAAATCTAAAATGGTAAGGAGCTCATTCCCAAAAGCATGGAAAAGGGATATGCATGTGTATGTATCTGTACATAAAAAATAAAATTTACCTGTCACGTGGTTTCCTATAATATTTATCTCCATAGCATAGAAGCAGTCTTCTAGTAAATATTATTGGAAACTCTTGGGTTCTTTTTCCCGCTTCTTGTTGTACTTGGTCTTCCCTAGTCTGCCTGTCATTTCCAGACATATTCCACTGGATGGAATTTGTATCAGTGAGGATAGTTAAGATAATCCTTACTTTATCCATAGTGAAGGAATAGTCTTGCTGGATAAGTCACAAAAAATAATTGCAAAACACCTCAAAGATAGGAATCTCTTCTGGACAAAGTAAACTTCACTTCTTCATATGCTTGCTTTTCTTCAGTTTTGCAATTTGGGTTCTTATTTTTAAGATTCTGTATGTAGTAAAGATGAATGCTGTATTCCTAAGAAGCTGGTTTCCATTCTTTAGTTTGAGGGTTATCAGGATATCTGATGTTTTGCAGGGAACTACGTAAAAGAGGCAGTGTACTAAATATTGTCCAACCTCTGTCTGCAGCTTTGAGACAATGGCAGAGGGCAGATAGAAAAGGTAGTGTGAAGTTTAGTGCTCATTTCTGGCTCTGAATTCTGGGAAGAAGTAAAAAAATTGTAAGTCCTATCTTAATTCCAGTCCAGGTTGGGTGCATTGCAGCATTTTGGTCTTTTTTTCTTGCTACCATTTAGTACCAATTTTCTGTCTACTATGTATAAACGCTTAGAATTCAGAGACTTGAACAACATATGCAAGCATGCTGTCTTTTCATCAGGCAGGTCTATCTCAGGAGTCGATCTCTACTGCTGGCACAATATAAAATTTTAATGTAGGCTGTATGCATTGTGCAGAGGAAGACTCATTACTGAATGCTTTGGGAATTAAGTTCTTTTTTTTTCTTTAAAAAAAACGTCTGTTTAATAGCCTCTTTGCTCCCTTCCCTATTCCTAAGTGTTCAGCCTTGTTTCACATCTTGGAAATCAGAAGAACTGTAGTTCTGTTTGCAGTATCAGTAAGAGACAAGTACATATGATCTCTGTTGTTAGAGGGATTCTTGCTAATTGCAGCCCCATAAAAACAACATAACTTCCCTCCTCAGGATAAGTTTGGCTCTGGGTGGACTATCTTGCTGCATATTTGTGCTCTCAGCTGATCTTGGTAGAATAGAATATTCTTAAGTTGAAGCAGTGACAAGAGTCATGTTCACAGTTCAGATTTAGCACTTAGTGAGCTTTCATTTGTCTTACCCTCATATGTCTGAGGCAACATTACAGTCTTTTTAACACAGAACAGATTGCACAAAGCCTCACGGAATTTCTCAGCTACAAAAAAATACATGACTGGGTCAAAGGCACCATTTAGACTCGTGAGGCAGGAAGTGATGCGGTTACTGAGGGCTAGAATACGCTGTGTTTCGCAGGAAGCTTGGGTCCCATTGTAATGGAGAATATAAATGTAGCGATTGACATGATAAGGTACAAAGCAAATCAGAAAGATCATCAGGACCATGATGATCATTTTGATAGCTTTTTCCTTCAGGTGTTTCTCAACTCTGTTCCCACTCTTTAGGCTTTGGATGATTAATAAGTAGCAAGTTACTGTAGTAACAAATGGGAAAGTGAATGCCACTGCTAAGGACGCAAGGGCATGACGTGATGCCTTTTCTCTGTAGAGCTGCAGGCAGACGGTTGTGTTTTTCATCTCGACTGTCTGCACACTAAGCAGCAGAGGTGCCATTGCAACCCCAACTGTAACCCACAGAAAAGCACATGCCAAATGGGCATAAAGGGACCTGCGGAGCTTGATGGACTTCACAGGGTGCACAATGGCTAGGAAACGGTCAACGCTGATACACATGAGGAAGTAGATACTGGCATACATGTTGAGGTAAAAAAGGAAGCCAGTGAGTCTGCATGGCATCTCACCAAATGGCCAATGATTACCAGAAAAATGGTACACCAGCCGGGTAGGAAGTACGAGCACAAAGAACAGGTCAGCCACAGCAAGATGCATCAGGAAAATGTTGGCAGGTGTGCCTGACTTTTGGTCCCGGATGAAGAGCCAAAGAGCCAGGGCATTGCCAACAAAAGCCAGGATGAAGTCCAGGAAGTAGAAAGTGGCAAAAAGGATGTTCTCGAGGTGTGTCTCTTTGCCACATTGCTCTGACGTCTCCAAAGAGAAATTTGTTTGATTTGAGCAATGGAAGAGTAAGCTTGAGGGATCTGCTGGGCCATTCATTTTTCACCACAGTTTTGAAGAAAAAAAAACCCCAAACCTGAAAGAATTGAGATAGTATATTACAAAAGAGCCTGGCTTTCTCTGTGAAGATAAAAACCCAACAAACAAACCCCCCAAAAACACCCCAAAAAACACACATGGAAATCAGTGATGTCTCCTGTTTGCTAATATTGGTATTTAATATGAGAGGTCAGTCTGAGTTTAAACACTTATATTAAAATTCTGAATGCCTCCTGCTCAGCTGGGTTTTCCAGACCATTAATTCCTGTTGAAGGAATCACTGTAAAGAGCTAGCTAGCTGATTATGAGCTTGTCTCCAACCTGTGCTGAGACCAGTTGAGTAACAAAGTAGTGAAATGCTTATGTGTCTGGTTAATGAAAGAGCGGAAGTGGGTTCCGTATGTCTAGCTAGAAAGTATTTCCCATGTTTAATTTGAAAGCCTGATTCAGGACTGAAGAGCTGCTAATGAGTCAGCTTTTCTGAGCACAGGTATCTGTTGTAAGGTGACCTAGCTTAGAATATCTGTCTTGTTCCTAGAAAAGGCGGAAGACAAGTCAGGTATTGTTGCTATTAAAAAAACCCCAGGGTTCCTGAAAGTCTTTGGGAATTATTTTAGTCTAAAGTCCTGTATTTAAGGCAAATGCATCTAGTTCCAATATAGGAGGAGACTTTTCAGATGGGTAGCAGCATCTCATTTGAACAGCAAAAAGAACTGAATTGACTCAGAAAAGATTATTAGTAAAGCCCATGCTGTCAGTTACTTGTTGAAGTGTCATCCTTCCCTGCAGCTTTCTTCTCCCTCAGAAGCCAAATTCCCACTGTAGCTTATCCAGGGCCTTTTCCAAGTAGCAGCTTAGTAAAACTGAGTTTAGGTTTGCCAGTCTCTCTGTTGTCTGCAGGGTCCTGAACAACATCAACAAAATGTGATAAGATTTTCTGGGTGTCTACCCATGGCTTTTTATACATTTCTCATCTGTGGGTATAGGTGGTAGGGAAATGCAGGCAGTCTGAGTTTCCAGCATTGTCTCTGTTTCTGGAATTCCTCAGAGGTGTTACAGTATGCGCAGCAGTACCTCCATTGTGCTCACCATTGCGTTTTGTACTGATTGATCATTTCTCCATAATATTCAATACATGTTTAAATACATCCATTTTCATCCACTGAGATTAAAATTTTAAGGTGGTTGCTGACATTGTTAGACAAAATTTTTAGTCTCGGGCAGAAGCTATGCTATATGCTGATATCTTACATCATTAGACAGTTGATACAAGGCATTACGCAATGCATCCAGCTTCCCAACAGAACTGGTTATTCAGATGTCTAAGAATATTGGTGGCTAATCGAGAAACTGAAATGGGATTAAGAACAGACCAATATATTGGAAAATGTAAACAAAATTCCAAGGTAATTACCATCTTTTGTTTGGCTGCTGTCACTTTCAGGTGGACAGAAAACTACAGTAGCTAAGAGATTAATGTGCTGGACCGCTTCTGTTTAGTCACAGTTGAAGACACAAAAGTCAACAGAAGGGAGACTAAATGAAATTCAGAAACTGAAATTTCTTCATATGACCACAGAGGGACCTTCTTACTCCATGCACTGCCTAGATACCCTGCATGTTTATGGCACAAAAAAGACTCCAGGTTTGAGTATGGGTACTCACTGCCAGCTGCAGCTTCTAGCTGTAGTCCTAGAGATGGCAACAAATTGTTATCTTGGAATTACTGGAAGTGCATGTGCAAGGAAAACTCTACAGCCCTTTTTTCCAAGGGACATTTTATCTATAAAAATACATGTGAAATCTTGCTTTCTTGTACACAAGGAAAGTTCCCTGTTGCAGTTTTCCATGTGAATTTCCTGGGTTTGCAGAGGAGCCTGCAATTTTTGTTTTTAGTGTTTATTTGTCCCTTACAAAGTAAAGCCTGCAAGTATTTTTGAACACAAGATTTTGAAGTTTGTGTATGATAGTACTGTTGAATGCTTAAATACTTGTCCTCCCTGGATTGAATTAGTTTAAATACGTATTTTTCTGTTGCATACCAAAGGAGAAACATGATGAGACAATGCCTTTTTACTGGGTGTTAATTTACAATGGTACCTATCACCTGATGTTCTGGCTACGTAGCCTTTTTTTGTGTCAGGCAGTTTGTTTAAATACGCTTTTAATCTGTGAGAAATATAATCAGGTCATCTTTATATACACACCTGTCAGTGATTGGGTGGTCTGATAGCTAAGCATTACTCTATACATGGTTATGACACCACTGTGAAAGCAGTAAATGCTGGCTTGGACCAGCTGAAAAGGCAGAAGTAAGGGCTGTCTAAAGGAAGAGATAGGGATGTCTCTTGTCTGAATGATAATGATTTAAATCAGTTCAGGAAGCAAAGCAGTAAGCAGACTTATTCCCTGTTTACAAGCTAAATACCAGGGGTTTAGCAGCATGATACATTGAACTGATTCTGTTTGAGCTGATTTCCTAAGGAGGATCTTTGGGATTCAGATTCAGCTTGAGTGTCAGTGCCAGACTTGGAAGAGCCAAGACTTAAAAGTTGAGAGTTTTGTCCTCACTGTTGGCAGCATTGAGTCTGCCATTGATTTCTATCTGGACATGCTTTCACTGCAAAATACTGTGGGGTGGAGTAGAAAGGAGAATGTCAGAGCTATCTAGAAGCCCAGTATGTCAGTGTCAGGAAGGGAGAGGCTTAGAACTAATGATAAAATTGAAATAGATTCAGTCTTTTCAAATTAGTGCCTTCATAGGAGAGCTGCTGTTACCTAATTTACTTTTTAGAGCAAGGTGAAGGGAGGAATTTTTCATTGCCTGGTCAGAAATCAGAAAAGGGAAGTGGGCCTCTTTCTAATTTTGCTTAGGTTTTAAATTAGAAGGGAATATTAATCAAGTTTTTTATTTTTTTTCACAATTCTGTTTGTTGACGTGAAAATTGTGGTGTAGCACTTGAGTAGGTTAGGAGAAAAGTTGTCATGTCGATAGATTTAATTGTTGAGCTTATTTTTAGAATCAATATGTTTTCAACAAAATGCTACAACTTTACAAAAGTAATAGTTCTTTGACAGTGTGTTCTGTAGACAGTGTGGAAAGCCCTCTGCTGTTATTTAGAGTTCCACTTCTATTTTGCCTGGGTTTATCCTATCAGTTTAAAATAAATGTGTTTAATTTTTAGTTTTTTTCTTTCTTTTTGTTTGTTATGCTTACAAAAAAAGCACTCAAAGTCTTAGAAAGCTTGTTGTACCAGTCTGTATGAATGCTAAGAGCAAACTGGAAACCTTCCCAAATTACCTAGAATGTGTAGTTTCTGCTAAGCTATATGGTGGAAGAGGCTTTGACTCCACAGACAGAAAACTCCTTTAGGAGTCTGGCTCATTGTCCAATAATTTCCGCTTGGATTGTATTCTTGGTGTCGTGTGAATATTTAGTGATTTACGTATTGCTAAACAGAGCACTGTTTTGGAACGAGCCATTATCCCAGGCCTCCCAGGGCTGAGCTGTAATGGGGATGTCACTGCTCATTTGAAATGCATGCACACTGACCGTATTTTATGCCCTGTTTCTCTTCTGCTTAGAAACAAGCAAAGGAACAATCCACAAGGCTGTCAGTATAGACACAACCTCATTACTCTTCCAGCAGATGCTATATCTATCATTAATGAAATGACTAATAAGCAGAGGAAATATTTAGCTCATCATAAGTTAGTTACCTGGCTAGTTTGGAGCTTTTATTATAAAGCCCACTGCAGATAAATTTGAGCTATATGTTAGGGTTTGTAGTGGACATTAGAAATTCCTGGTCTTGCTCTCAGCTAAAGCAATTTCTGGTTTGGGATTATGCTTGTTTGTAGGTTTTCATGATTATGGTTGTAGTGTCTTGTGAAACAGGAGTGTCTCCTATCTTTCACTGCAAGTAGTCTTCATTAGAAATAGTCCACTTCTGACTGAAGTTATTCTCCTGAAAATCACTCCCTGCTGAGCCTCCCACCTTTCGGCTGAAATACTTGTTTCTTGTGAGCATCAAAATGGTGTCGGAGAGCACTGACATCCCATACAACTGTCAGTTTTCCTGACACAAATGGACATACATTAGGTACAGAAATTTTAAAACTTTTATGTTTTGGAGGAGTGATGTAAAGAAGAGTAAGGAAATTATTCTTTGAAGTTCAAAAAAATGCTGCCTGTTCTTAGTTTCAAACATTTCCATTATATTCATCCGCCTCTGCTTGTGTGTCTGTCCACCTCACTGACACCAGCTAAAAATAATGCCGTTAGGAAAGCTCCTTCATTATTCTGCTAACAGAAGTTTGTCTCTTACCTCTTTACAGTGCAGTCCTATGGGTGGAGTATGGGGTCCTTTTGGGGAAAATCTCAAGGAACTCCTTCTGATGACAGCAAACCAAATAGAAGCAGCAATGGTGAAAACAAGATGATCCAAAAAGAGCACACAGTTGCAGAGTTGCTGAGGGTGGAGAGGGGAGCCCCTCTATATAGTGTCCTTCTAGCTCTGATAGCGCATTATCAGCTCAGTCACACAACAGAGCAGGAGAGAGGACACCCCAGCACTGAAGAGCAGTCTTCATCCCAGCTGAGCTCTTGGCACTGGGGTTGCTGCTGCTGTTATAGATATGAATATACTGTATGAATATTCCAGTGTTCATGGTGCTTACTGAAGGCTGCTACTGAACTCGCAGCCGTGAACACAGACTTCTTGGAGTCCCCTGATTATTTTAGGAGGGTGGAGAGAAGCATTGTTTGGGGGAAGTCTGGTATTAATAGACACAACAGGACATTTCAGAATGGGATAATTCCATAATGGTGGGAGTGGGGAGGGGGAGAGGGAGAGGGGCAGCTGCTATGGTAACAGCTTAGCCTGTCCAACACTTCCCTTTGCTTGCAATAGAGGAGGGTCTATGGGACAGCAGAGAGGGTTTGTGAGTGGGGAGGGGTTGATAATGGTTTATCAGTGCAAATGACTGAAGGCATCTTATTCAGCTGAATGAGAGGGGTCTCTTTCAGGACATTTGCTTCAGGGTCCCTATGTCCTGCCTGTATAATTACTCTGCATTTGACAGTGCTGAATAAAATTGATGCCTTTATGCTGAGATGAGCACAGCTGCATGTTTCCTTATAATGGGGTGCTGTCTGCTTTTTCTGGACTCCGTCTGGGCAGACAGTTCCAGCCCTGGAGAGAGACACTTGCTGACAGTAGGACTCAGATTTGAAGAGAATAATAATGATACTTAGCACTTAGACAGACGCCTGCCAGCTGAGGGTCATAAATGTTTGAGGTCTCACAACAACATCTGTGTTGTATTCTTATCCCCATTTTACAGATCTAAGGGTAAATGATTCATCACAGCAGAATTTTGGAAGGGGCCCTGCAAAGAACCCACTATTTCAGCCATAAATCTACCCTTTCCATTTGAACTTTTCCTTTTGTCTGCTGTCTTTTGAGAACGACTTGTAAATCTCAGCAAGTGTTTCACATAGTGATATAGTGAAAGGAATTAAGCAGGCTTGTCTGTTTTGTGACAAAGAAACCCACAGCAGTCATTCCTCTGTCATTTTTGTTTTGTCATAAATTCTTCCTAGCCTGCAGCATTGCAGCTAGAGGGGTGGCTAATAGGCAAATAAACTGAACAGCTTCTCCTCCGAACTCCTAAATAGTGGGATAGAACTGGTGGATTCTATCGGCCTTTACAGAAGTTTTTTATGCCTTTGCCCAGGCTTTTCTACCAGAAATTTGGCTTATCTACCTGTTCAGGACTGTACTTGTAACTCTGTTCCTATCACATATTACATTTACCACATAAAAGTGCAAAATTGCATAGTTCTTTATCTTCCTTAGCTTGGGACTAGAAGGAATTTTTAGGCAGAAGAGCTAGTATTCAATGGTCTCCTGTTTGTCCTAGCTATCGAAGACTAATGTAGCCATGGTAAAGGCATTTGAGCAATGTGCTTTGGTTTAATATTTTTTATTCTCTCTCCTCAACTCCCTCCCAGTGCTGTAATGCCTCTGTTATGGATCACATAGTAACAGAGAGAGGGTGTTGCCACCTTTCCTTGCCCACCTCTCAAAAAGGATCTAGAAGAACTGGAAAGGGTACCTAGAAGAATGACAGGGTGGTATCCCTGATGGGATATAAATCAGTGAATGTTGGAGGAGTATTCTGAGGAAATACAACTCTGTGACTGCTCTATCCACATATTCTTTTCTGTGCAACTGGTGTGAAAGACAGGATACTAAACTGAATTATGTTTAGTCTGACCTTGGAAGGCACTTACTCTGTTACATAAAGTACATCCTACAGCATGCACTGTACATTGTTTTAGGGGAAAGAATTTCTTAGTATTTTCTTTTCTTTACTTTGTTCAACCAGGCATCTGTGCAGGCCATGCCATAATCGTGAAAAAGCCAAGGGACTGGGAAAATACATCTGTCAGAAGTGCCACTTGATAATTGATGAGCAGCCTCTGATGTTTAGGAATGATTCCTACCACCCAGATCACTTCAACTGCACCCACTGTGGGTATGTTCTCATATTCTAAACTCTGACAAAAAAGGAGAGAGACAAACAGTATGGTCAGCAGCACAGTCCTTTCCAAGGCCTAAACTTTGCTGCCTTCACATTGTTGAACAAACAGAAAATGTGTGAGGAGAAATCGAAAGAAATTTGGAAAGCCTACAGGAACTTCAGTTTTATTTTGCCATTCAGTGTTCTTTTATCCTAAACCTGAATGATGCTATTTTATATTGAAAATGAAAATAGTTCCTTGGTATGAACTTACCTGAAAGGCTATGTGCAGATTACAATAATAGTGTTGTCCAAAGACAGCTGTTGCCAGGCTATTCAAGATAGTTTCAGTTTGCATTCCTGGATAGAAAAAAAGATGACTTGGTGAGCTGTGTCAGTCTTCTGGCACAGTCCATTACTGTGCTGATACCTGTCTGACCTGAATTACTTACCATGAAGGCAGTATAATTGGAGCACAGTACTGCCCTAGAATGGGTAACGGTGCTGAAGAATAAAGTAAATGGCTCAGGGCTGAGCACAACTAGGATGGTCCTTGTACCTGAGCTCTCACATTCAAAGATAGCTTGAGTCTTTGCACGATGCTGCATTGTTCCATGTAAGTGCACCTCATATTTCTGCCAGAGTATCTAGCTGAAGATGTGATATTCCATGTATGTTCTCGTCTGGCAAACTGAGAAAGTAATTCTAGAAAGATGAGTTGATAATAACTGTATTTCACTAGCTTAATTTAATGACTCTGCATTTGTAGCATGAATGTTGCCAAAGTATGTTACCTGTCAAGTTTAGTCTTCCAAAACTTCATCTTGGGCATTAAAGAGCTTCACTTGGTGTTCTTACTTCAGGGACATGTTTGTGTTTTCAGGAAGGAGCTGACTGCTGAAGCCCGGGAACTGAAGGGAGAACTGTATTGCCTGCCCTGCCATGACAAGATGGGAATCCCCATCTGTGGAGCCTGCCGCAGGCCCATTGAGGGACGAGTGGTCAATGCTCTGGGAAAGCAATGGCATGTTGAGGTGGGGCGTCTCTGAATCTGAAACTTCCTTCAGGAGCCATTTTGGAAGAGGGCTGGTGCTAGTTGGAAGCTGTAGATATTTACGTGATCTGTAATATATGAATTCAGACAAAAAACAATTGCTTATGTTTCAGGTTGTCTTCACCTTATGTGAGCGAATGAGTACAAGCAGGGTCATCAGGGTTGCCTAAGCAAGCTATGCTTTCACAACAGTAATAACCTTAATTTTAAAATGCCTGAGTTGCATTGTAAAGATTCTTGCAGAATATGGTTCACTGAACAGCATTTACTTACTAATAAATTTACGTATTTACTATGATGTACTTAGATATATACTCTCCGACCCCAGTTAACAGGTTCATAACAGTGTTAGAATTTGTAATGTAGGCAGAGCCAGTGCAATTCTTGCTATTTAAGCCTTTTCAGCTCATTGTTTCTATAACTTTCAGCTGAGGTGTCACAGCTTGCTCTGAAGTTTTCTAGTGATTTATGTTTTTAGCAATTTAAGCCTCCTAGGGCTTGAACTGAGAGAGATGATGCTGCTCATTTGAAGTGCATTCATGCCAACCATGTTTTAGGTTTCTGTTTCTCTTCTCTGGAACAAACAAGACAGTAGTCCAAAAGTCTATCAGTATAGACACAAGATGATTGCCCTTTCAGTAGGTCTTCTCCCTATCTTTAATACAATTCTTAATTACTACAATAGACTAAATATTTCGTCTTTTCTTTTACTTCCATAAGATTTTCCTGTCTGAGTTTCATTAAAGCATTAAGGGGTAACAATTTTAAACTGAAAGAGAGTAGATTTAGATGAGGTATTAGGAACAAATTCTCTACTGTGAGGGTGGTGAGGCACTGGAATAGGTTGCCAAAAGATGTTGTGGATGCCCCCGCCCTGGAAGTGTTCAAGGCCAGGTTGGATGGGGCTTTGAGCAACCTGGTCTAGTGGAAGGTGTCCCTGCCCATGGCAGAGGTGTTGGAACTAGATGATCTTTAAGGTCTCTTCCAACCCAAACCATTCTATGATTAAGTGTCTCGTATTGAGCCATGATTTGTAGCCATGCAAGTTTTTCCCTGGTGATGGAAACGTCTCTTTGCCTGTCACTGATTGTCTTTTTTTCTTTTACAGCATTTTGTTTGTGCCAAATGTGAGAAGCCATTCTTGGGGCACCGACACTATGAGAAAAAAGGGCTGGCTTATTGTGAAACTCACTATAACCAGGTAAATTCTGCCATCTGTACTGTAGGTACTTGCTCGGACTGGCAAATGTTTTTTTTGCATTTTACATACAGAAAGCTATGCAGATTTTGCATAATCTGAATTTGTAGAGGCAATGCAATATTAAGAAATTAGTGAGACAACAGAAAAAATAGTTTTTCTTGGTAAATGTAAAAAAGTGATGCTGAGAACAGAATAGAAATGTCTTGGGGATACTGATTTTCCTTTGTGCCATTGACAGAAAAAAACCACTGACCATGGGTTGTGATTAAAATCCCTGTAATTCTACTCCAAAACTATTTGTGTGGACTTCTTCGATAATTACTTGCTTCCATGGGCCCAAGATAAATGTTACACTGTCTAAAACATAAGAAAAGTATGTTTCAAACTCTGTTTTTTCTGTATGACTTTACTGAACAGCTATGAGTTTGGTATTTTCTTCTATCAGGTAAATTAGTCTCTTTCTTTCATAAGAGATAAGTGTTACCGTTTTGAAAGTAGCTCTAGGTTTCATTTTTACGTTTATGGTTAAGCATCAAGAGATATTTGTCTACAATAAGCATCATACTCTACGGATCTTCTTTTCTCCAAATTGCCACGTGTACAGGACTTTAAGATCACATAACAGTGGTAGAGTGTGAGGCGTCAACAAAAAAGGTTTTGTAGTATTTACTGGTATGAGATCTGAAGGAACATAGACTATTTGGCAACTGTATGAGAAGTTATTCAGAAGATTTAAATTGGTTTATTTGGGGGCTACTGCAATGTCTGGGAATTCTTTGATTGTTAGGATTTAATGTTCACACCAGCTGTGTAATTTGGGGAGCATGAGTAGTCAGTAACATGAGTTCCTGTTCTTATTTCTTTTGCTGTGCAGCTCTTTGGAGACGTCTGCTACAACTGCAGCCATGTGATAGAGGGAGATGGTAAGATTTGTTCTCTCCTTGTTTTGGGTTGCTGTCCTTGTTCCATTTGTTAGTGCAGCTGTTGCAGTCCCACAGTTGGAAGGCACCAGTGTTTCTTTTCACATCTGGCCTAATTTGAATTTGGATACAAATCTGAATTCAAATAATCCAGTAGTTTCCTTTTATTTTGTGCTTTTGCTTTTGCAGTGGTATCGGCTCTTAACAAGGCCTGGTGTGTGAATTGCTTCTCCTGCTCCACCTGCAACATCAAGCTGACTCTGAAGTAAGTCAGTGTTTATATTTGGACCATATGAGACATTTGCCCCAAGGCAGAGTATCAGCTTGGGGGAGCCATGAGCCAGTGCCTCTCTGAGGGGCAATATACCTTTTCTCTGTGGGAGCAGGTGCTTATAATTCCACTGATTTCAGAACTAAAAGGGAGCTGGGACTCAGCATCCTCTCCAATTTATTTTGCTTCATTAACCTATTCTGTAAGAAGGTTGGGTAAGGGGAGAACTCATTCAGCAGTACAGACGGAAGGCTCTAAACTTCGAGTAACTGCCTGTCCTGAAACACCTGCAGCCTCCATGTCTCCTTAGTCTGGATGCTTCCCTCAATGACAGTATTTGCAATTGCATAGATTATTTTGAAAGAAAATCTTATGCTAGTTATCTCAGATATGTACAAGAGGGTACAGAAAACAAAGAAATCCTACATTTTTCCTTTCTCGGGTTCAAAACCTTATCCTACCATGCTGGGTTGGCCCCACTGGCCTTGTGTATGAAGGAGCTTTAATTCATCACAAAGAGGACCTTTGAAGTGACACTTTCATTCTACGATAACAACATTATTATTCTAGATTGTTACATACAAATATATAGCAAAATATTGCTCCTTATTTAACTAGCAATACTAAAGACCCTAGTTCCCTGGTAAGAACCCAGTCTCTGTACTTACATGACCAGACGAGGAAGTGAGTTGTTTTATACATGCAATAGAACACAAACAACAGCATTTACGTAGATACACGGAGACTTGATTTAGTGAAGCATATAGTTTGCAAATACCATTTTAACAGCCCACTGTTCTTTGTGTTAAAGGAATAAGTTTGTGGAGTTTGACATGAAGCCTGTATGCAAGAAGTGCTATGAGAAATTCCCTCTGGAGCTGAAGAAACGCCTGAAGAAGTTGTCAGAGCTGGCATCCAAGAAGGCACATCCCAAAGCTCTGGATTTAAACTCTGCTTAAACAGGTCTGTCAGTATACTGACTGCACTCTTACAGGCACAAGCTGCTGCTGACAGCAGCTGTTGATTACAGAGGCAATTACTAAGAAGTGAAACCAAAGATAAGTAGTACCTTCATGTGCTTCTGGTAATGTAGCTTGCATCTTGACTATCCCTTTTCTCAAGCAACTGTCTATTAACACTGGCAGAAAGAGAAATATGATTTCTGCTTGAGCAGTTTACAGTCTGGTTATTAATTTGCTAATAACAACTTATTCTGCCTTTGTGGAATTGTACACAGTCTTTCCTTCCTCAATTGAACTGTAGTTCTCTCTCCATTCCTCTATAGTCTGAGGAATTTGGAAACAGTGGTTGAGTGTAGGGGTGGAAGAAATGAGTGATTTGATCTTTTTCAGTTAAAGTATAAAAATTTCTCTTCTTACCCTAGGTGAAGACATTTTTAATTTTTTTAATATGTAGGCAGATACTCTGAAAGCTGTCACTCTTTGCTACGTGCAAAATGTTCTGGTCTTTCTCCAGATTCCTACTGAGTGTATATGGATGCTGTAAGGTCCTTCTGGTTTGCAGGTTTACTGGGAAAGCCCAGGAACCAATACGTATGGCATCTGCACTGCCTGCTTGTCTGGCTTAGGTCCAATGTTAAGACAGCTGAAGAAGTTTGCTTTGCTGCTTCCCTGTTCAATACTAAGGAGATTTCAACTGTCAAGGCCATGTCAGCCTCTTCAGAATACTTGGGCTCTCCTTAAGGAGGAGGTGGCTATGGGAAATGAAAGATTTTGTTAGAAACTGACACTATAATTTTCTCAGTTTGTTCTCTACTACTATGTAGGTACTAGAGCTTCTAGTGGTCAACACAAAGCATGTCCTATTCACTGGCATAGCTGACGTTTCTTGAGGCAGTGTGGCTGGAGCCTTGGTTATTCTTTTGCATGATGAAATCAAATTGATAATATGGTACCAATTTAAGTCCTTCAGTTTCCCCATCCTCACTTTATTTGAAAGATGAGTATATGCTTGTTGGTCACACTCCAGATAGCCCAATTACATGAAGGGGTTTCTAATATTTACAGTCTGTAGCAAATGTGGTCTTATGCAGAAAAAACCCAGGAAGTATTTTTCTTAAAATTTTCACCCAAATAAGAGTTTTCCATCACCTATCTTCTTAAGACTTGAGTGTACTTAAAGAGAGGACCTCAGACATGAATCTCTACATCTTAAGCATATAGTTCTGCTCTGTAGTTTTGCCTATCACTGGTGAAGTTTCACTGGTCCTACTGTCTCTGCTAGTACAACCCAAGGAATTTACTGGTTTTGAACATTCTTCATATTTCTTTAGGGGTGAGCCATCAGTACTGCTGTTCCTGAGTCCACCTGTGTGTTGTATAATCATGGTGAGCTTCTGAGACCTCTGGAGGTGTCCCCCTATAGTTTCTTGTGCTGAACTAAGCTGAGCAGCCTGAAAATCCCTTTCCATGAATAGTTGGATACTGTGCCTGTTCTTTTGCGAGGTAGACAGGATGAAAGGCACTGGAAGACTGCTGTTCCTTGCATGATTTAAATCTTCCAAAAAGTGGCTAGTTTAGTAGGTCAAATGAACACAGCAGTTGGGCCTAGACACCACCCTGCAGCCCCAGGTGAATTAGCTAGCAAGAAGTTAAAGCTTTCTCACTTCTCGCATATGTGAGCAGCAACTGGATTGGGGCAATAACCTGCCTTAAAATTGTCCTCACTACCATCACACTCTGCTCAGAATAGATCTAAGCAAGATAATAGCTGAATCATTGGTAGCTGTTAACACACTTGCTGTAGCTAGTACCCATGAAACTGCACCAGTGATATTACAGAAGTGGTGGGAAATCCTGGTTAAGTGTGTGCAGATAAGAATCCCACATGCGAGACCATCTCTTAGATACTTACTGGCTTTGCTAATTCAGTTTTCTTCAAGCTGCTTTGCTTTTTGTTGCTGTAAGTTACCCTAAACTTTTAACTGGGATATACTGCATGCACTGTAACATTGATGAGGGGATAGGCCTAATTATAACAGTAGAACTCTTCCATCTTCTGACCAATATGCACTGTAGATTACAGTAATAGTAGCTGCTTTTGTCACTGCTTTAGGAGAACACGTGGCTAGGCACTGTTCTCTCACCAGCCTTTAAATGGTCTTTCAGTTAAGGGCACAAAGGGCAGCATGTCTTTTGGTGCAGCAGTTATGTGGCCACTGCAAAGACCATTCTTGTAAGCCTATTCTGTGGAATTTTTTTCACAGCATAAAACACAAGAAGTACTCATCTAGGTGCAGTTCAGTATGTTATGCAGATTCTTCTCAGCATAAAGCATTCAGGTCTGTTCCTATAATCTTAGTCACAGGCCAGATCTAATGCTAAATCTGAGTAGCTGTGTATCTGCAGCCTTGTCATGGTTTAACCCCAGCCAGCAACTAAGCACCACGCAGCCGCTCACTCACTCCCCCCCCATCCAGTGGGATGGGGGAGAGAATCAGGAAAAGAAGTAAAACTCCTGGGTTGAGATAAGAACGGTTTAATAGAACAGAAAAGAAGAAACTAATAATGATAATGATAACACTAATAAAATGACAACAGTAGTAATAAAAGGATTGGAATGTACAAATGATGCACAGGGCAATTGCTCACCACCCGCCGACCGACACCCCACCAGTCCCCGAGTGGCGAATCCCTGCTCCCCACTTCCCAGTTCCTAAACTAGATGGGACGTCCCATGGTATGGAATGCACTGTTGGCCAGTTTGGGTCAGGTGCCGTGGCTGGGCATGAGAAGCTGAAAAATCCTTGACTCTAGTCTAAACACTACTGAGCAACAACTGAAAACATCAGTGTTATCAACATTCTTCACATACTGAACTCAAAACATAGCACTGTACCAGCTACTAGGAAGACAGTTAACTCTGTCCCAGCTCAAACCAGGACAAGCCTCCTGAGAAGATGGTGGAGGAACACACAGCTGCATAGCTACTAGTAAATATGGAAAGACTGTAACTAGCAGGCAGTAGGTAATATTCTTTCAGTGGCCACTCTCAAGTTCAGCAATGGAAAATGCATGTATGTAGAGGTGAATGGAATTACTTTTGTACTGCAAGTAGAGATTTAGTGTGTGCTCTTACTTTGTCTTATGTTAGAAATTTAGTAGACCTAGTAAACTTCAGTGTTCAAAGGACAATTGATATCATTCTCTCTGATAAGCTGTTCAGTTCTCTAGGATTTGGATTATGTCCTTATCTTCAGAGCATTTCCCAAAACTGGGAGGGGGGGGGGATCATCATAATCTCTGATCTCTATATTAGCGGAGGGTGATGTTTTCTTAGTATCTCTTAAATTACTATTTTTTCACAACTATTTTTCTTATACTCCTGCTGCCCATAGCCTGCAATGTGCAGAGTTACAGCAGTATTATATGAATAATACTGATATACCTTCTGTGGAACAGTGGAATTGAAGGAGAAGGAGAAAGAACTATAAATAGTTTAAATGAATGCATCTTCCTCTACTTCGAGTCCGCTTTTTAAAAACTAAGTAGAGTATAATGCAGACTTAGTGTGTTGATAGGCTGACAGGCTGGGTTTTGGGTTTTGGTTTTTTTCTTAAATAAAGTCAAGGTCTCAGTCAGAAATAAGCTGCATGCTTTTTTCCATTGCTGTAAATAGACACGCTGGCCAAATTAATCCTAGGTGTTACACCACTGGAGAGTATAGATTTATATCAAGGTTGAACTTGGCTCAGAAGTCTACGCTTAGTAAAAGCTGTTGTCTCATTATATACATTTATAGTTTACATTTATATTTATACGTACTGATTTAAAATCACTAATATTCACTGAGTACACTTGTAAATGGTTTTGCTTTTAGAAACCACAGTATGTGAAGCTTGTTCATATTCAAAGGGTATGTTAATCACTTGCAATCTTTATAGCAACCTAATCTCCTCTCTAGGGTTTGCATCCTGGTCTTTATTTTTACAGCAGTCTGTGCAATGTAGGCAAATATTGTTCAACCTTCTGTACAGAGAGTTTCTAGATGTTGCATGTTTTGTATTAGATGATGTGACTGACACTTTTTTAAAAAGTGGTTGGATGGTGAAGCAATAGATTGGAGGCAAACATGTAATAAACATGGTTGTACTAGTCTGTAAAGCACTATTAAGTGCTGAGGATGGTATAGACTGAGTAAAAGAATTAGCAGCTACTTGCCTTGGTGCAGGCCTTGATGAGCAGTGTGGATTCTGCACCATGTGGAGCTCTCATTTTATCACAGATTGCTTGTGCTAACCAAAACATGTGATCATGGATTGAAATGTTGTAATACTGTACTTTTTTATGTTTCTGTAATAAAGTTAACTGTAATACGTTTTAAATCTTCACAGAAAAAACAAATGTAAAAAGGTTGTATATTGTACAGTAAAAAAAAGAAAAAAAATTACATTTGCAGTGCTGAGCCAGAGAGCATTATGCACTCTGAGGAACTCTGGGGATTGCCCAAATCTGCTGCAGTGTCATGACGAATTCACATTTTGGACCTGTGCTGCTTCCGTGGTGCTATGTTGGTTGATAAGGATGTGCAGAAAGGAGTATCATCCTTTTAGAGGCTGTGCTGTATAAATTGTGAAATTGTGTTGTGAATATGACAAGTAGATGGGATGTTGTGATCATTTACACGCTGCAGTGGATGTTTGGTAGGTTTAGGTTACATGGATCTAGAGTGAATATTCAATTTTCTTGTTAAAAAAGACAGTGTGGTTGATTTTCTGCATTGTTTATTTAAAAACCAGAAACAATACAGTTTGACTGCAAAATTTCTTTTTGTACAGGTGAAGTATTGAATGCTTCTCACTTATAGCCAGTTAGATCAGACATAGGATGACAAAACAACTCAAAGTCATATCTCAAATGTTTCCATTGCCAGCAATGGACATTGCAGCAGGAATATCTAATTGCATGCAAAAGGATCAACTATTCTGGCAAGTGTGGCACTCATTTAGATGCACAA